TGAGTTAATTCTATGGAAAACAGTTTTGAATCTTCAAAGCCTATTAGTTTAGATAGTATCTTTAATATATAGTTGTGCCACCGCAATTTTTAGTGACTTTGGTTCACCGGTGTCCCATTGAATCCACCAAATTGGCACAAATTGATGGTTCAATGGAGTACCACTCTGAATTCACTTTCTTCCACAAATCTTCCCTAGTTTTGGACTTAAACCCACCAATCCTCTTCTTTATTATCCCCCCAAAGGGAACTTTGTTGTCCACAAACGATTTCTTGGCCAGCTTTGAAGAATGGTTCGGGTCATTATCCTGCTGAAACTTCCATTCAATTGGCATTTCCTCTTCAGCATAAGGTAGCATAATGCTGTCGAGTAAGTCTACGTTGTGGGTGGCACACATTTTTTCCTTTATCCAATTTATTGGACCGAAACCCGACTGGGAGAAGTATCCCCACAACATGAGTTTTGCACCACCATGTTTAACGGTTTTAATAGAGTACTTTGGGTCGTGGGCAGTATTTTTAGGGCGCCTTACATGTGGTTCCCCATCAGATCCAAACAAATTCATCTTGGTTTCGTCCGATCACAACATATTTTTCCAATTGGAACGCAATAAATGCACCTTCGCGAAATGTACACGTTTGTCGATATTTTTTCTTGCTGAGGTATGGTACCTTTCGGTGTGAATGGGCTTTTAGATCTGCTTCAATCAGCCTATTTCTTATGGTTCGACTTGTAACCGGTGCATTCAAATCATTTTTGAGATGTTTCGACGAGAGAAAGGGATTTTTATTTGATTTTCTAACAAGCCGCCTGTCGAAACTCACCGATGTTGCGCGCTTATTATTGTGATAAATCGCCGTAATCGCAGTCCCCAGACTTAAATCCTGTAGAGCACCTTTGGGGGATAAAAAAGAAGAGGATTGGTGGGTTTAAGTCCAAAACTAGGGAAGATTTGTGGAAGAAAGTGAATTCCGAGTGGTACTCCATTGAACCATCAATTTGTGCCAATTTGGTGGATTCAATAGGACACCGGTGAACCAAAGTCACTAAAAATTGCGGTGGCACAACTATATATTAAAGATACTATCTAAACTAATAGGCTTTGAAGCTTCAAAACTGTTTTCCATAGAATTAACTCAGTCGTTTCTATTATTTTTTCCAGGCCTAAAAATTTAAAAAAATTTTTTTTTAGTTCATAACGTTTTTTGAAAATTTTTGTTTTGGTATATTTTGACACATAATTGTATCGACTATCACTCAAAATTATTAAACTTAAAAAAAAAAAAATTGACTGAAGAAAAGTTTGAAAAATACGAAAAAAAATTTTTCGTTTCTATTATTTTTTCCATGACTGTATATATATATTTATTGTTTATATTTATTTATTTATTTTATGCATGTCTTTTTACGGTTTAATTTAAGTAATGGTTTATATTCCTAGCTTTTAATAAAATTTTATAATGTTTTGCTAAGTTGAAAAAGTAGCCGCAGCCAGCGTTGTCTTGTGATGTAGGGTAGCACTTGATGAAGGGGTCGCTCAGGCTGTGAAGCGCTGAGGATGTGAGCGACCATTGGTAGGGTGGGCAAGACCAGGACCTCCACAACATCCAAGGAGGCGAAAAGAAGAAGTCAGTCGAAATGGAAAAAGTAGGGAACATAAAGTGATGATCTAATGTGTGTGTTTCTCTAACCCGGTTTCAGTTTGGTGATGCACGCGAGTATCTATATATTATTAGGGAAAGGCATTCCGAGGTATCAACAAGACCACCACACCCATAGCCGAAGAGCCAGAGCCGGATATATTTTTCGCGTGCGCTGGTATCTCAAGGCAACATCTAGTCTGGTTTATATCAATGAGTGTAGCGGTTCGTGACAGTTTGAAGGTATTTTAAAGGAATATCTTTCCAGTTCATTGTGACCTCAGTAATGGTTTCTGCTTTTGTCCTGGTCAGATCAGTGCTTCTATTTCGCTGTATTACCGACCACACATTTTTAATAATGTTTAAGTCAGGACTTTGTGGTGGCCAATCGGGGGTTTCCACACCAACATCTCTTAAAAACCAAGTAATCATTTTGGCCGTATGGCAAGGAGCGTTGTCCAGTTGGAAAATAAACTCCTTTCTTATTAATCTGTCGCCGGATGGAAACGCATAATTATTTAATGTATTTAAATATAGGTTCTGGTTCATGGAACCGTCGATAGGAACCATGTCTCCCACACCATTATAGGAAACTAAACCCCAGAACATAACGCTTCCATCCCATGGCTTACTCTTTGACACACAGGAGCAATTTTTTTTACGATAATTATTGTTAATTCTTACAAAAACATTCTTTTGAGACCCATGGAATTCAAAACAACTCTCATCCGTCCACAGGACATTACGCCAAAATGAAGTGGGCTTGGTAATGTACCTTTTTGCAAACTCCAAACGCTTTAGTTTATATTTTGGAGTGATAAAGGGTATTGGCCTTGCAATATATGTTTATATGTATTTGCTTCAATCAAACGCCTGCGTATTGTTCTTTCACTTATGAAAGTAGATTCAGTCTCATTCCACACCGCCTTTGGTGTTTTTAGAGGGTCCTTCTTAAAAGCACGGACCGTAAGACGACCTACCTCAGCTCCCGTCTTTCGATTTCTGCCTTTAAGCCTAGTCATGAGAGAGACCGAGAGGCAAACAGCTGGTGTACACTTTTCGTCAGGCTTTTTTAGCGAAAAGAATAAAAAATGTAATCTTTTGGCGTGCGCTTCTCACTGAACACTTTAAAAAATGGACGGAAAAAATCAAAAAACCCGTAAAAGTCGATTGCAGGAGTTTTCTTGTGAGGGTGTTAATCTTTTGGGGTGCCTCTTGTCCGAGCAAAGTGTTTTTTAGGTCAAAAATGTACGAAAAAACACAATAAAAAACTTTATTGAACTTTAAATTAGTAAATAATTATCAGGAAATTAAAAAAAACAACTGGTAAATTTAAATTGTATTGTTTTTTAATTTCTTTGCAACTACCATTTTTGAATTTTAACTGCTTGTCAACAAACCCCGCTGACCGTAGCACGCTTTATTCTGATAAACTCTAGAAAATGCAGTACGCTAGAGAACTCATTTTCTGAATCCTCGATCTGAATACTAGGCTTTATGGCAAACATTGATCACATCATTACATTTTTTTTATTTATTGATTTGATAATAAATGGTCTGACAAGAGAAATTTTATTCCTTAGCGATGTTTTGTACGGAAACACCCAAGTTGTATTTGGTCAGAATTTCTGATCTTATTTTGGTGCTCAGCTCAGATGTTTTTACCATTTTATATATTAAACAAGAAAGGAAAGCTAACTTCGGGCGGAGCCAAAGTTGATATACCCTTGCAGAATATTCTGTAAGTTTTGGCATTTCCAATCGTTCAGTTCATACTATAATTTTGGTCAGAAGTTTGTAACGCAGTGAAGGAGTCTTTTCCGACCCCATAAAGTATATATATTCTTGATCAGGATGAATAGAGGATTCGATATAGCCATGTCCGTCTGTCCGTCTGTTTCAATACCGTTTGCGAGCTCATTTTAATAGCTAGCGATCTGAAACTTTCACAGTCGTCCTAAAATATGTGTACGCAGATCAAGTTTGAAAACCGCCCCGATCGGATGTCCATATCTTATAGCTCCCATAGGAACAATCGGATATAACTTGCAAGAATGGAAGATATTTCGCGCAGTGTAAAAGCTATTAACATAAATCTTTCCAAATCTTATTTTTTTATAGATACCTTGATCAGGGTAAAAGCACGTGACGATCGGACGTCTATATTCTATAGCTCCAATAGGAACAATAGGGTAAAATCGGTTAAAATTTAATGATTTTTAGGATATTTCGCGCAGTATATAAGCTATTGATATGAATCTTTTCAAATCGTATTTTTTTATGCATACCTTGATTAGGGTGAAAACGCGTGACGATTGGACGCCTATATCCTATAGCTCCCATAGGAACAATATACCTTATTCCTTTCGCTACTTTTTCATTTTTAGCAATTTCGGCAAAGTCTGCAAGGGTATTAAAACTTTGGCTTGCCGAAGTTAGCTTCCGTACTCGTTTTAATTAAGACCTAAAGGTAAAGGTTTAGTTTTATGATTTACTTGGTGCTTGGCTTTGATGTCATTGTATTCCATCATCGCTACAATTGGAAACATTTCTCTTCGAAATAAAATTCTTGTAAACGGATAAGAAAAGTTTGGCGAAATAGCTAAGTTGTTAAGGGACGGTAAGAGAGTATGGCCGCGCACTGGCCGCCTAAAGAAACTTTATAGTAGGAATATTTCCTTTATCCGCAATAAAGTAAGCAAAAATGGTTGGGCACCCCCGCAAAATACAATGATGGAAGGCTCTTCGCAAGAAGCCTCTCATAAGCGAGATAAGCCTTGCACTTTGTTTGGAACTAGCAAAAAAACTAAAAAGGTGCTATTTTCGGAAGAGCCCAAATATAACAAATTAATAAACTGGATCTAAAAGGTACTTTACCTTTAGATCTTAGCTGAAAGAATAGCAGAATCAGCTAACCAACAAAACGTGTGTTAACTTTTACCAATTTCTTTTTTCGTTTTTTTATAACTTTGAAAGTAGGTGTTTAATAAATAAGAAATTTAGGTTTTTGTTTATTAATTAAATTTAAAATAAGACTTCATCATACTTTTTCTGTATAAACTTCAACCCTTTATATTAAAACAAGGGGTCGTATGTTGACTTTAGTCTGCCATAATGTGTATACTTAGGTTCAGAATCACATTATAAGACCCAAAGTGTACAGCAAAAAAGAATCATTTAAGCTGATACAAATGAACATGCATACATATGTACATATCTACATATTTTATGTACTTACATACATAATAAATAATTTTAATGTTAATGTAATGTTTTTATTAATGTATGTAACATTAATAAGAATACTTATCTCGTCGATTTATTTAAATGTACACAAATATATATTTAATTTGAATTTACCTTTTTTCTTTTTGCTCGGACCCTTAGTATTTACAAGAGTTGTAACTTGTAGTACAAGAGGCTCTAAAGTCTTTTCAACTGACATTGTACGAATCTCCAAATTTTTGGGGTCCCATTTCAAAGCTATCTGGCCGAAATCGGTTAACGTGCCCATCTTATCAATAAAAACTTCACTTATTTTCAAAAAATTTATTGAGTCTCGTTTACGATAAAGCGACGACGCCTTTTTCGATTAATGATACATATCTAAGGTTTGGGACATTCAGTGGTTAGCCACCAAAATATACCCAATTCCCACAGAGTTACATAAGGCAATAATTCCAATTTTTGTAATTAAACACTATTCCCACATAGCATTATCTACGATACAGAGTAATATCCACTTTATTTTTGATTAATGGTTCAAGGGGTTTTGCCATGCCAAAAAATCTATGTTAGTTTACATGGCGAAAAGTGGCTTGCAGTGTAAAAAATTTGAGAGTTAAGCCTAGTACTCAGATCGACAAACGAGTTCGCTAGCGGAAAAACTTTAATCTTTCCAGTGTGACCTAAATTTCGAGAGTATTGTATGTATATTGTATGTGTATTGTGGCAATAGATGCAACTATTATCTAAACATAAATATTTATATCACATTAACAAATATTTAATAATGTACAATTATGACTTACTATCATGATCCATTTCCCAGGCTATTTACTCCCACGCTCTTTTATTTGACAAATCCCACAATTCTGGGTGGGACTCCACAGATCGTAATCCTCACAAGTAAACTCCTGCAATCGACTTCTACTGGTTTTTTTATTTTTTTCCTCAATTTTTAAAAATGTTCAGTGAGAAGCACACGCCAGAAGATTACATTTTTTATTCCTTAAGCCTAGTACTCAGATCGACGAAAACTGTACGCCAGTCACGAGAGAGAGTGAGATGCAAACAGCTGGAGTTCACTTTTCGTCAGGTTTTTTTTCACTTTGGTACTCAGATCGACGAAAAAATACCAGAAAATTACTTTGCGTTGCCAACCACCTGAAATGAACTTTGGGTGTACCCTAGCGGAAAGATTAAAAAATTTAATCTTTTGGCGTGCGATTCTCACTGAACATTTTAAAAAAATGGACGGAAAAAATAAAAAAACCCGCAAAAGCCGATTGCAAGAGTTTACATGTGAGGACAAAATAACATTAATACTATTTGGGGTGCCTCTTGTCAGAGCAAAATGTTTTTAGGTCAAAAATGTAGGAAAAACCACAATAAAAGTGCAGCTATGAAATTTAAATTAGCAAATAATTATCAGTAAATTAAAAAAAAAAACTGTTAAATTCAAATTGTATTGTTTTTAAATTTCTTTGTACAGCGCCAGACTTGTCTTGCCAAGGTTGTTGATAATATATTTTAAAGGCTCTTTCCCGCAACTACGATAAATGAATTTTAACTGCTTGTCAACAAACCCAGCTGATTGAGAGTACGACCGTAGCACGCTTAAATCTGATGAGCTCTCGAAATTTTGGTCACACTGGAGAGATTAAAGTTTTTACGCTAGCGGACTCGTTTGTCGAGCTACCGGGGTAATTAGGTAGCTTAGTGCAACACTCGAAAGATTTGGTAAATTGTCTTTCTGGGAGTACCAGAATTCCACCGGAATCCGGTGACCGGATCACTGTCCCAGTCGGTGTAAGGCATGCTTATGTTCATGAGAGAAAGATATACAAGTATCAAACAATATCGAAAAATAAACTATCGATATTTTGATATTTGGCTAAAAATATATCACGATATAAATATATATTTTTTTTCTATATTTTGATATTTTGATATATTTTTGACATCCCTATGCGGAACAGACATCGGCTAAATATCGCACATAAACCTGTAGGGAGGAACGTTATTCCACCATCTGGACTAGCTGAAACAATTTTCTCGTTTAAAAGTTGATGCTTATTTGAAGTATATTAATATATTTTTCGATTGAAGTAAGCGAGTGCACGCTAATATCGGCGCTGACTTACACCGAAAATATCCATATAGTTATGTCGAATTAATCAATAATTCCGAGTTTTGAAAAATCTACGGGTCACTGTTTGTGAAACAATATTTGGCAAATGGAGTTACCAGCAACAAAAATGACTAATTATGTGATTCCCCAGATCTCATATGTTGCAGTTGGAGTCGATAGTGGGATGGACTCTATCGATAGGTTAGGATGATAAAGCGATGGTTTTAGTGGCGCCCCCTGCTGCTCATACCCTTGGCTATCTAGCTATTTAAACTAGCCCGGTTCGCTCTGGGTATGGCTAGGATGGCCTTGGATTCGTCCATTGACCCACTTTTGGGAGAGGGAAAGGGAATATGGCGTGATGGGCATGACATTGCGTAGGTCAGGAATCGGGTTTAGTTGCTGCCGGAGACCAAAGCAATGTAGACGGAGTTCTTTGTATTTTTTTTGCTTTTCGTTTGATACAAAAAAAAGTAAGGGTGTGAAAAGTGCTAGTGTCGTGTGGAAATTAAGTAGATATTTATTCATTTTAGGTCCACCGGGGACCCTAGTACATAGGGCCCCGGCAGTTTTCTTTGATTTTCGTCGTTTTTTTGAATTTCCTCTCGGAGGAAGGGCAGCAGCCCTCGTGGGAGTACTCCGCCACCAGTAGCAGCATCAGCAACAGGCGGCGGCAGCAGCAGCAGTAGCAACAGCAACAGCCATCACCGCCAACCAACATCGCCGCAGGCAGTTAGGTTATTTAACCACAAAAAAATTCAACTTTACCTCGGTGAGTCCGTTCCGGCCCATATAACCCTAGCAGCACAACGTCGCGACCACGACGCGACTCCCCTACCACGCGGCGTCTCGGACATCACGGTCTGCAGTGGCCTAGGCACGGCGTAATACCGGTTACCGGACCGCCACGTCCCTTTATAAGGGTCCCGAGTTGTCCTCCGGCGACTCGCCACTGGCTTACTGCCGGTGCCTAGCCTAGAAGTGGCTGAAAATTATGAATGTTAAATTAAATGTGCACATTACTAAATTTATATACTTACCTGTTGACCTGTAAATTTATCCGGACTTAGACCCGAAAACCTCAATTTGTCCTCGTTGTTGCCTGTAAATAAGGGTCGCGATTATTAGTTTTCGGCGGGATTGTTTACAGCGCATACTACTTACCGTTTGGCCTGTCCCTTCTTTTCCCTAGGAGCTCCTCAGGATTAGGTGACCCGACACATACATAGTGTGTGCCCTTTTTGTGCGCCTCGTTCACTGCGAGTTCCACCAATACGTGACTGGTGGAACATTATTTCCGCGGCGCCTGTAGCCTTTGCCCAGGGAAGGTAATCTTCTGCTTTGACCGCGTAAATTCGAAGACGGTGGCCAAGTTTGGTCGTAAAGGCTAAGAAAAGATGAATTAATTTATAGGAGAGCCATTATAACAATGTATAGCATAGGTACTTACTGTGGATATTAAATGTACATGTCTAGAAACTGAAATGTGCGAGTGAGTTGTCGTTGTGGGGGAGATGGAGCTGTCCTAGTCGCGAGGAGTGACTTGGACCAGCTGGACTTGGGTGATGCCTCCGCAGAATCCTCCGGGGCATCCTTGGTTGGGTGGGCGTGCTTGGCTAAGTCATCGAAAGCCACCAAAACACCATATTTTCCCGTCATCTATAATTGTTTACGTTGTTTACCTTTGTTTGTTTTGTTTGTTAGTGATGAGCGATTAATTTGTGATGTGAGACAGTGTAGTCATCGACGTTTATGTTGCGGGCTGTGGCATTAGGGGGAATCCGCCCCGAGAGAAGACTGAGCTAGCGGCACTGCCAAAGGACAAAAAAGCAGTTCGTAACATAGTGGCGCCCAATTTAAACAATAAAATTGTCGAGGCGACGACGTCTCGCCCATTGATGGCCCTGACTCCCCTCGTCATCCCTAACGGTGGCTTGCAATATAGGTTGCAATTGCATCGGGAGTGATGACGGGGAAGTCAAACGGCAAACCGAAAAGCACAGAACGGGAGGCTGGTCAGCAAATATTGCCGACAAATTGCTCCTGGTCACAGGTTTACCAGTAAACCAGTGATGGCATCCCGGCAGAAGCCAGGTTTTGCATCACGGGGTACATCGTGATAGCGAGTACACTGAAATAAATCTGTGATAAATTCTGTGATAAAAGTAGGTTAAAAAGCTTGTTTTTTGTTGTTTATTTATGTAAAATTTTGTTTAGATTAGAATGTCTTTAATTCCTGGGTTTTTCTCCCCGTCCTGAATATCTAATTTTATGTCGGTTAAAAACTTAAATGGTAATCGTGACCCGTGGCAACGCCACGCGCTGCACGGTTTCCTCGATGTAAAATAGAAAATGCCGATGGGAAGGAAAAGCCAGCAGGAGTAAAAACCAGCCAAAGTCCTATCACCACGAGTGATAGCCTGTTCAGTTGACGAACGGCTAGGAGAAGCGCAGGACGAGCTGGGTCGGAAGTCCACCGGCGAGGGTCAGTTCCATCTCCCCATGTTAAAAAAACTGAAAAGATAAATAGGAAATTTTGTATTGGTGGGGAAGGGAAGTTTGAGTCATTGTTATATATTTTCTTTGTTATTTATTATTATATTTATTTATTCTTGTTTATTTATTTAGTATATTTTTTATTATATTATTTATTATATTATTTTCCCTATTTATCGGCAATTTAATTTGTCGTTACGTTATAGTATTTATATTATATTATTTGTTAGTTACGGGTGACGCAGTTATTTAATAAAAAAAAAAGGGTGAAAGCAGGTCCATGGATAAATATCCAGGAAATAGGCACGGCCATCAGCTAAGGTCGATGGTTCCTCCCGGCGACGAAGAAGACGCACTCTGGTCCACTGACGTAGAAGGTGCTGCAAGGCTCCCGCGGGTATCTCTGGCTGGGGGTTTACCCAGAACGCCAATAAGCGGTGGTCCAGTGGATCAGATTAGGGATTAATCGGCGGTTCTCGCACAGCATCGGTCGCCCAGAACCCTCGATTTCCGGGCGATCGTCGAGGCGCAGGATAAATTGCTGATTCCGGAACAGAAGAATCCTCAGGAGGAGGGCCCGAACCGAGATTCAGCAGCTGAGTCGGCGGCAAATGCCGCTCTGGCACAAGCGGCCCAGACCTATCGCGCGTCCCAGGAGTCGGGAGTTAGCCAGACGTTGAGGGAGGAGATCCGAAACGGCTTCATGGACATGATGAAGTTGCTGAACGACGTCCTTAGGCCAGCCGAGAGCAGACCGCAGCCGCTACAGGAGAGCGAGAATCGCCAAGGATCGATGGTGCCCAGGCCGACGCGTCCAGAAGCCGTCGCAAATGGTCCAGCGGGAGAAGTCCAACAGCGGCAGGAGACGACAGAGGCTCAGGCCTGAGCTGCCGCCTAGGCAGCGACCTCGGCCACCGGTGAACGACTCTCCGGGGATCGACAGCAGCCTGAGCCAAGAACCGGAGTACGACCCAGCAGGCCCGAGTGATCGCCACGGACGGCAATGGCGTATTGAGGATCGCAGAGCTACGGATTTCCGGGATGAGCCGCGGCTTTACGCCAACACGAGAGCTGGCAACGGGAACCGATATATCCGAGTGGACCGCTGGAATGTTTCTTTCGACGGCGAGGACGACCGTAATTCCGTCGACGATTTCGTGTTCCGTCTGGAGTTCCTGCGTCGTCAACACCAGCGTCCGTGGAAATCGAAATTCCACGCCCTCCTATCGGGCAGAGCAAAGGAGTGGTACTGGGTACATGTCCGCCAATCCAGAGTAGACACTGCCCGCAGGGCTTTGGTGGATCGGTTCCGTGGTCACCAGACGGAACACGAAAGGATGCACGAGCTACTACAGCGTGAGCAGCAGCCGGGTGAAGGCGTGGATGATTACATATATGCAATGCAGCAATTAGTTTCCCGCCTAAAAAAACCAATGCCAGAGCGGCAGTTGATGAAGGTGGTCAAGAAAGGCTTGAGGGATGGTATAGCCAGGTTTGTCTACGCGATGGATATACTCACGGTAGAGAACTTCGGGAGGAGTGCGTCGAAGTGGTGAAACACTTCAGTCGTCGAGGGCGCGCTGCTTACGGGCAGTTGAACAAGTTGCGGGTCAGCGAGGCGCGCATACCGGACGAAGTCGACGAGCAGCAAATCCTCGAAGTGGACGAGCTTCGTGGAAGGCCGAGAAATCCATTCAAGCCAGGCTGTTGGAATTGCGGTGCCGCGGAGCACAGATTCCGAGACTGCCCGTCCGTGGAGTGGAAAAGGTTTCTGTTTCCGGCAGACCGGACACAATCACTCCAAAATGCCCTGAGTGTGCGGAAAACGGCCGACTGGGCAGTCAAAAAGTGGGAGGGACTCGCCCAGATTGGAATCCCACGAGGTAGTTCCTAAAATAGATAACAATAATAACGTATATAGCAAATCTGTTAGGAATAAGTGTTCATTAAGATACCTACCGGCGGAGGAACGGCTACGGCGATATATGGAGGCGCGAAATAGGATTTTTGCAGAACATCAGCTGAGCGGCATGCGTATGGTCTCACGGAGAGTCCAGAAGGCAAGGGAACGCTTCAGGATAAGAAGTGGTGGCCGCCGTGAAGCGCATCGATTCCGGCGATCCTAGACCCTTTGCCGACGTAGAGGTCATGGGCCAGCTGCTCACAGGCTTGTTGGACACGGGGGCCAGTGTAAGCGTGCTGGGCAAAGGTTGTCGAGAGCTCGTGGAAACGCTGGGGGTGACTGCTCAACCGTATTTCTCAGTAGTCCGGACGGCTTCTGGCGAGGATCGTTCAATTATTGGACGCGCGGAGCTGCCTGTGAGATACAAAGGCGTGAGTAAGATGGTCATGTTCTACCTTTGCCCATACCTGGAACAATCAGCGTACTTCGGAGTCGACTTGTGGCGGGCGTTCGGACTGGCTCCAGCCGTCGTAGGAAACCCGGTGCCAAAAGCCATCAAGGCAGCTGATGAAATCCATGCCAGCCAGATGGAGCACTACGCCGAACAGGAGGATGAGGACGAGATGAGGGAGGAACCCGAATCCTGGAAAAGGTCAAGGAGGAATTTCTCACCTTTGAACGGGATGGCCTCGGAACCACCAGCGTGGAAAGGCATTCCATTGAGTTGATAGAGGGAGCCCGGGTGTTCAAAGATCGTCCGTATCCGATGTCTCCGGCGAAACAGAGAGTAGTCGAGGATGAAATCGATAAGATGCTGGAACTGGGTGTCATCGAAGAGAGCAAAAGCCCTTGGAGCAAACGCACAACGGTGGTGTCGAAGCCAGGGAAAGACCGGTTCTGTCTGAATGCCCGTAAGCTGAACGCACTGACGGTTAAGGATGCGTATCCTCTGCCTAGTATCGATGGGATCCTCTCCAGTTTGCATTTTGGCAGATCGAACTGGAGGACAGGAGCAAGGAGTACACTGCGTTCACGGTTCCAGGCAGACCGTTGTACCAGTTTCGAATGATGCCATTTGGGCTGTGCAACGCGGCGCAACGCCTGGTGCGTCTTATGGATCGGGTGATACCAGCGGAGCTCAGATCCAACGTCTTCGTATATCTGGATGATCTGCTAATCCTCGCTCCAGATTTTCAGACGCACTTGAGGTACTTGCTGCGCGTAGCCCAAAGTCTGAAAGCAGCTGGTTTGACAATAGGGTTAAAAAAGTCGAAGTTTTGTTTCAAGTCTCTAACTTACCTGGGGTTTATAGTCGGAGGAGGTCTCCAGCGGATGGATCCTGGACGGGTTTCAGCAATTCAGAAGATGCCTTACCCGAAATCCATGAAGGAAGTTCGAGCCTTCCTCGGCACGGCTGGGTGGTATCGACGGTTCGTTAAGAACTTCGCCACGCTGGCTGCACCGCTCTCCGAGGCCTTGAAGAAGACTGGAAACACCAGGTTTTCATTGAATCCCAGCGCCACACAAGCGCGCCGGTCCTGGTTCATGCGGACTTTAAGAAGCATTTTTATATCCAGTGCGACGCATCTCACGTTGGCGTCGCCGCAGTATTGTTTCAGCGGAACCAGGACGGGGACGAGCAACCCATCGCGTTCTTCTCAGCCAAGATGAACAAGCACCAGGTCCACTACTCGGTCACTGAGAAGGAGTGCCTGGCGGCCATCCTAGCCATTCGGAAGTTCAGACCGTATGTGGAAGGGATGCCGTTCACATGCATAACCGATCACGCCAGCCTGAAATGGTTGATGACGATGAAGGATCTGTCAGGACGTCTCGCGAGGTGGTCTCTCCAGCTGCAGGGTTATGATTTCAGCATTGAGCATCGTAAAGGCAGCGAGAACGTAGTTGCCGATACGCTATCCCGCTGCATTGAGGAAGTCCTCGTTGATCCGACTGACCTACTGGGATTCGAGACGACCGAATTTGCTGCAGAGGATTACTTGGAGTTAGTGCAAGACGTGGAGTCCAACAGGAAGCACTTACCGGACCTAAAGGTGGACAGCGGACTGATCTTCAAGCGCATGGGGACTCCGAATCTGGACGACGAACTGGAAGGATCCGAGTGGAAGCTGTGGATACCACAGAGCCTGACGCACAGCTTGGTAGAGCGTGCCCATTCGGTCCCCAAGGCTGGCCATGGTGGAATGGCGAAAACATTGGAGACCCTGCGACGCCAATTCTATTGGCCGGGGATGACAATACAGGTTCGTGAATACGTCCGG